TTCCAAATGAAGGGACAGAGATTGTAACATACCAAGCAATTGTATTATACTATACAAAAAAAAAAAAAAACAGATAAGTGATTCAATAAGGACTAAACTATGCTTAATGTTACGGAAACTAACAAATTAAATGACACACACACACACACACAATAGGTGTATTGCATTGAACAAGCAAGAGATAATAAAGGGAATAGAGTAGAAATAAATGAAGCTTACAGAGTCCAATACACTTAATCCTTAAAGTCTGTGAGGCTCCGTTAACCTTGAGCTCCAAACTCCACTCTGCTCTCAGTTTTATATATATATATATATATATATAATAATATCTTTCCTCAACCTTTCCAAACAAGCTTAGTAATTTAGTTCAATTTTAAATTTTAAAATTAATTTTATGCAAATTGGCCATAGACCATGAGATCAAGAAGTGTCCGTGTCCAATTCACGCGTTACTCGAGAGATCCATATCAACAACCTGAGTCAAGTCCACATTTTTAAAAGCTCATAAATCTTATAGTTCTTTCTTATCACATTCCTCTTCTCCAATTTTATTTTATCTCCAATATTGCTAACATTTTGAAATTCAACATTTCTCTTGAAATACTAGCTATTATGTGTATTAGAAATGAGAATCAATCTTCTAGAAATGGAGGGAGAGGACAAGTAAAATGAAAAAACGCCATATCTTAACTTAAAATTTTAAGGCTCAAGTTTATAGGTTATTTCTCCTTATTATATTTTAGTTGTTAAGTCTAATTTTATCCGGTCAACTTAAATTCATCCCCACGTAAATAACCTGACATTTTTCCCCTTAAGTGCAAGTCCAAAAACTTCACATATCAAATATGCTCTAAACATTGAATCCTTGCTCTTACAATCAAGGTCACCTAGTTTTGTGGCTTCAAACGTTTGCTAACACTGTTTATAGGTTTGCAAAAAAAAAAAATTGTCTCAGGATCCATCACTCACCCAAATTTTCGTATGAAAAAGATAAAATTTCACTGAAACTTTATATCATGCTAATTAACAAACTTTGATATGGGACTTAAAAGCACCTTGCAAGTAAGATTTCACGTTTTTAAAAAGGTTAAGGAAGTCTGCCCATTATACTGTTATATAGTTGTAATTATTTTTATAATCATTATATGGTAATTAATAATAATATTTTTAATATGCATGCCAAAACTGTCTGGCAAATTAATCACAATCACTGCACTGACTTTCTAAAAAAATATATATCTATTGAGACCTATATGATCGGTTGTTCGTCTACATTTAATTGAGGTAAACTGAATGATATATTATTTATCTACTCATGAATAATACTTTCCAATAATTTATATTTAAAAGAGTTAAAATGATAATTTATCATTATTAAAGTAATTATATAATATTTTTAATTGTTCACGGGTGTTGTTGTTAATGGTATCCTTGGATAACTGCATTATTTCTCTTAGATACATTTGAAATTTAAGGAATTTAACTGTTATTATATTTCTTATTTAATACTTATTAATAATTTTATATAGCTCTTTTTTTTATAAATTTTTTAATCAACTAACCATTAAATTAATAAACATTCAACATACGAAAAAAATATTAGTCTGCTTTTAATACATGAGTGACGTGACACCACCTTTGACTTGAAGGAATTCAGTGCATGTGGAAAAAAAAAAGAATTGAGGAATAAATTACTGCTTTAACTTTTTAAATGAAAAAGTTTTAAACAATAACTTACTAACCATGACGGGATAAAATAACGCATTAATTTTAGAATAATTGTGAGAAAGTCGAAACAATGCACCGAAACTTGTAGTAAGTCCAGTATTTATGTTGACAAAGTCAATCACATATATTAGTCGGAAAAAAATGTCAATCAAATATTTAAACATTGTTACGCAATCTTGAAAGTAGATACCGTATGCTAATTAACGAAAGTGACTTGACAATAAGACATTAAATTATTATAATCCAAAAATTATTCAATTGGTTATTGACGCGTGACTTGAAGACAGCTTCAAATGATTACACATTATTGAGCCTTTAGCATATCTACTAGATGCATTGACTCTCTAATTAATCCTCCATGATTTCGTTTTAAAATATTTTTATTTAAGATTGGTGCACCTCAATTAAGAATTGCCATTAATATGTAAAAATATGATATATTTCACTAAAGTTTCCTCTAATTTATTCTTGTATATGTCTTATTAACACTCCTTTTGTTTACAAATATAAGGCATTTTTTTAGGTTGAATGTTCACAAAATATAAGAAATTTTTAGTTTTTTATGCAATAATTTATATTCAGTTTTTTTTTCAAAATTATCTTTAATACATAAATCGCCCGAGACACCCTATTAAATAAGATTTCTATGGAAGGATGGTATTAATTTAAAGATAATTAACTAATTTATTGGGGTGTACAATGCAATTACAAATATCTTACACTTTTAAATAGAGAGGGTATTATATGCTAATAGTAATTTCATGCTTTTAAGAATAATAGAAGAATATCATTAAATTGTGCTTTGAAGTTTAAAAAGACAAATAATAGTGCTTTGGCATGCATTTGTTTAATTAGCTTTGATAGTTTACTTGGAAGATTTTTAATATTGACTTTCATAGCCATGTGAATACTGAATAATGCGAACTACCTTTTTTTGACCTTGACTCAAAAATGTAAACTTCGGCCTTTATATTGCATATCATATGCGCATTCATAATTGTGTACATCTTTAATAATTCTTTCGATTTTCTATTATTTTTTTGTTAATTATTCGAGGTAAATGTTTGTAAAGTTCCTCTCTAACGTCATCAATATCAAAATGCAGCAAGGTTTAAGGATTGACCTGGCCACCAATAATTTTCCATTTCACTCCACCATTTCGCCACTTGGCAAAAATTCCAACACCCACATTTCAAACCCTCTTTTTCCTCAATCACATATATTTGAAGTCCGAAGACCCTTAAATCGAAATTATATATTGTTTTCTTTTCACGTGATCCATGAGAGAGATTATCAGTTCAAAAGCTTTTCAAAATTCTACCCACATGATTATTTTTTACATTTAAATGGCCCTATTAAAATTTGAGGAAAGATATTCATGAAGAAATATAAATATAATTACTTAACTAATGGGATCTAGATTTAGGAGAAGAGACAAATCTCTCACAACTTAACAAACCAAAGTTGAAATCCCTACTGAGAGATATGCCTATATTTAGTAGTAGATAGTGCCTCGAATTGGATTACTTGAAATAAGAAGATATATGTGTGCAATACAAAAAGAACTAGTTATTTATGAAGCCCAATAAAATGTTTAAAAAAAATAAAGAAAAGGTTTAAACAGACGCGAGTTCAAGCAGATGAAGAGGAGAAAAGAAAAGAGAAAATGAGAGAAGAACCGAGGAGCTCTACTAGCATTTGAGAATTTTGTCTTCTTAGAGGTTTTTGGAGGTAGAAATCAATGTGGTGAGACCTCAACTCCTCTTGTCCTTCTCTCTTGCACTTTTTATAGCTAGGATTTTAGGTTGATGATGATGTTTTCTGATATAGGGGTGTTTTGGATGAAACCAATGGTTCTAATGGAGTCAATGGGAGGTAATTTAAGTTTTTATACCTAGAGTTATTAATTTTGTAAGGTTCTATGGATGGGTTCGCTAGTTTGAGAACCCTAAGTCAAAAATGGATGATTGGGAGCATTGTGGACCATTAATTGGTGTTATTTAACTTAATGAAAGTTAAATGAAGTTAATAGAAGGATGTGAGTACTTGGGTCATGATAGAGATGGTAGCTGTGAGTTCATGTTATGATAATGTTTTAATTTGTAGACTATCATTGCTTGGATACTTGAAGAGGAAGCTAGAGGAGTGTATAAATCCCACGGCTAACCTTTTTTTGTGATAAAAGGATTGAGGTAATTAGTGTTGAAAATTATTCCCTAAGGCTAATCATTGTATTATGCACATTGTTATTTAATGAATTTCTATTTTGTTATCATATCAATTGCATGTTCACTATGATAACTATATCCTTGGACAAACTATAGTGATTGGCCTAAATGTCCCTAGTCGGTCATCTATGAGGAATCATAAATGAAATAAAACTAGTATTATTTTGATTTATTATAGAGACATAAATCAAAGTCGAAAGCACTTGAAAAGTACAAGGTGTTGGACTGACCCATTATGAGAAAGTTGCATGGTACAAGTCATAAATTTATCTCATATATAACCATATCACTAAGCCCTTTGACTTGAGATCATCATGGATTCTTACATGATGACCACTGAACTTTAACTTGGTCAAATGTCACCTTTGACCGGGCGATCATAAAGGCTATAATTGAGTTTAATGATATCATGTAGAGGAATATGAGCAATCAAGATGGAATTTGTCCCTCATGTTAATTGAGAGATGTTACTGGGCCTCTCAATGAGTAAAACTGAAAAAATATATGGCTATACTACACTGTAAAGGATAATGACAATTACATGTCTCACAGTTGACTGAAATATCACGTGACAAAAGGGATGTGATATGGTTATATGAAAGGTTGCATCAGATTATCAATCCCCATATGAATTAGATAGTTGCAATATCTTGCTAGAGGTCACTTGTGACTTGTGGGCTAATAGCATAATTAGCCTATTGACAATTTCATATAGGTTGTAACGACCAAAATAATAATAATAATAATAATAATAATAATAAATCTCCTGATTTATATTTTCTTTAAATTATTTTTATGAAAAATGAAAGGGTTAGTTATTGAAATTTATGCTAATAGCTTACTTGAAGGTTAAAAGTTTTAATTTTTGTTCATAATAAATTAATTTTAATTATTTTAAAATTATAGGAAAGTCACCAAAGTAATTGTGTCTTTTATGTTATTAGAAGAAATTTTGGGCCTTCTTTTGTAATTTTTGCAATTTCATAAAAGATCATATTTATATTCTCTGTTTCGGTCAACATGGAGGCACCGCCTCATTTTTTCCCTTCTCCTTCGGCACTTTCGAACTCTCCAGACCTGGAGAGAGAGCTCGTTCATACTCTTCGTTCTCCATCTATCCTCCTCAACGGATCAGCTCGTGTGGACAGGTGCATGAGATCCGTCTGCAGCTGCCGTGAAGCCTTGCCGTGAGTTCTTCCCCTGTTTGTTGTTTGTTTGCTGTTCATCTGTGTCCCTGTTTGTTCTTTTTTTTTGGGTGTTGCTGGACGTCATTCTCCCTTGTCGGTCTCAAAATAATTTCGTAAAAATGGCAAGTTCATTCGCCTATTCATCTCCTTCCGTCCAAACTGCTATGACTTAGTGTATGAGGTTCCTTTCTTCTTCCCCTGTTCAACACGGCAGATTCATCCTTCTCCCTTTCATGTTCTATACTAATCGATTGAAGCGAGTGCTGTGGTTTGGGTAACGGGTTCTTGGTCACTCACTCTGCTGTCAGCCTTCGCATCCTTCTCTGTTATTGGGGGTTTTGTCAAACTCACAGCTTCCTTCATTTTGCTTGCGGCAATCGAAGACCATGAGTGGCAAGAAACTTCCTCCTTAATTTCCCTCTGTCTGTGTGTTGCTTCGTGGTTGCTGCCATGGTTTCATGATTTTCTTTTCCCAGCTCCTGTCGATTTTTTCCCATTTCTGTCGTCGGTGGTTCTAAGGTGAGAAGCTTCAGTCCTTCTTCTTGTTGCTGTGTGCGCGTACTGTAGGTTAAATTATGGAAATTTCCTTTTCTTTTCTTCAATCGTATGAAATGTGGTGATAGGAATTAGGAATTCTTTGTGCTTGAGATTGATTTTTCTTTTAAGGAATATATATTTGGAAAGCTGAAGTATGATTTAAATATCTCTATTATAAAGTTGTAGGAGTTGGAATAGAAGGAGAAGGAATTTGGTTTGAGTTTCAAAATTAACGTACAAGAGTTGCTTGGCAAAATGTTTGTTAGAAGAAGTTTTGCTTGATTTTATATTTCCTGATATTTCATGAATTCTTGTGAAAAGTATGTCAGTGTGGGTGTCATTAATTTATGGACTAAATTCAAGATTTGCTAAAGAATTTTTATTGTGAAATTTTCTTGTAATTAGGTGAATTCTTGAGCGTGGATGGTTGTTGATAAATTGTGTGATAAGAGATTTGAATGTCACAAAGCCCTTTTGAGGGGTTTGGGAAACTAACTATGTTCATAAAGAAACTCTAGTATAAATTTTGATTCTGAAACTTTAAATCTATAATCGTTATATACATAAACACACACACACACACACACATGTGTTAATGTTAGAAGAGAGTTTTGAGCATTGTTAGAAGTTTATTAAGACTCTACTATATTATATAGGGAGTTTGGAAGGAGAGGAAATCGATTAGTGCGGTAAGAGGAGAACTTTGTGCCTTGAGAAAATTGGAGGTAAGTGGATAGCGTCCCAACTGATATTTCATTAAAATCTCTTTTATTCAAATATTATATTTTTATGCAAATTCTTCTTACGACAACAATGCGATTATTGGATATTTATTGATTAACATTGCTTTATTTTAAGAAATTAGATTTATCAAATTTGAAATGTTATTTGATCAATTAAATTAAGTTTGGACTTTGATTATGAGATTTTTATTTTATCAAACATTGGATTGATATGGAGAATGATTTTTGCGAGTTCAACTTTGAAAATTTTTGATTATTCGATAAATGCAAGCATGAGTATTGGATATGAAGTTTTATTCTGGCAAGGTTTAATGCTTAAAAGTATTCATGCGAGTTTGATTTTGAGAACGAGAACTATATCTTGAAAGTGATGATTTTCTCGCATGTTTGAAAATGGTTTTAAAAAAGGGACTTTATACAAAACACTGGTTGCTAACGGCAGTTCCGTTAGCCCTTGGCGCGCCATGGTACACCTAGCTAGCAGGGTATGTATAGGAGGTGCTAGCCCCGTGCGATGGCCAACGCACGTGGAACGGAGGGATGGTTATTCGTGAGCATTGTACTCACGTTTGTTTCGTGGCTTCAAGCCGCGTTTGGTTAGTATTACCCTCGTGGACTAGGTGTCCACGTTTGTTTCGTGGCTTTGGCTGCGTTTGGTTACTTACCCTCGTGGATTGTGTGTCCATATTTGTCTTCGTGGCAAAAGCCGCGTTTGGTTATTTACTCTCGTGGACTATGTGTCCACGTTTGTTAATTGTTCTGATAAGTCCCTATAATTATGAATATGATTATTTGGTGATTTTATATCTCATTGATTTTTATTTAGTAATTTATTTACAAGTATTTATTTCATTTATGTGACTTCTAAAAAAAAAAAATCAAGTGATATTACCATTTGCTATGATAGTTCAATGGTTTAAGATTTTATTCAAAATTTTATAGAGCTATTTTATTTTGAAGTTTATACATTTTTTTTTATGGAAATTGTTGTCTCCTTAATCTACATGGTTATTTTAAACTTTTCTTTTTATTCATGTTAAATTATTTATTGTTGGGACGTTATTCGCTGGAAATTTATTTTTGGTCTCAGATAGCATAATTGACGCTGTACGTCTTGCTTACTAATGATGGATGTTTGCGGAACAGAATGAAGGCTTGTTCTGTAAATATATCTTATTGATATAAATATGAAATTTATGTATTATGTCATGAGATACATGATTAGGTGCTCCACATAACTTATAATTAGAGTTCTTAGTTTATTATACATTTTGTCTGCTGGCGGGAACGAGCCGAGCTCCTGATTGATATAATGTTTAAAGAAAATTTTTGTGATACATAACTTTTGGGAGATTCTATTTATAGAGGAGGTTTTGTCAAAATTTTTACAAAATGTTGAAATAATTAGTATAATGATTAGTATCAATAGTATTAAAATGTTAGTGTAAAACTGAGTACATTTAATTAAAGGAAATAAACCTTGAATTTGTGGCTTACGGGATGTATAATGTGATTCACATCCTGTGCCGGTCACCTCTATTTTTGGGGCGTGACATAGGTCTACAGAGTTACACACAAGAATAGCCTAACTTGAGCTATAATATTTAAGTTCATTGAATCTAGAATATGTCTTACATTCAATGAATGTAATACAGGGTGAATGAATTATATATATATATATGAATACAAAATTTAAAATATAATTTCATATATATATATTTGAAATATGTATATTCATGTGTGTGTATTTGATATATGAAATTAAATATAGATATATATAATATATTTTTGAAATATATATGTGTGTGTGTGTGTGTATTCGTGTATATATATAATAATATGTATATGTGATATATATATATATATATTGTATTGCATTATATTGTGTTAATTTTAAATTTAATTTTATGTGATAGATTAAATTTAACAACTAACATGATACAAGAGAATATCATATCAGTTCTCTAGTTTAAATTTATAACATAAATTCAAATTAAATATAATATTATAGATTTTATTTATGAAATAAATTTAATATAATATTTTCGTTGGCTCATTAAAGGAAGATTAAGACCCTAATCTATATAAATGATAAATAAGGGGATATGCTTCATTTGAGAGAGCTAGACAAGTTTTAACGGCTAAACACTATGAAAGCTATGAAACACCCTAAAGAAAAGAAAACCAATGTTCAAAGATAAACGGACATTGAGAGCACTAGCACACTCTTTGAGTTAAAGAGCTGTTTATGTGAATAACGATAGAAGGAGAAGATCTATGTTGTTGGCTCCTAAAATCTAAACTATTGAAGAGAACGCACGTGAAGCACGAAATAAAAAGATATCTCTTCTTCCTAATTTGACTTAAATGAGTTCGTTTAGCCCATATCGGGGTAGGATTTAAAATTTTAATCTTTCGTTGCGCCTTCCTGTTCAACAACCAGATAGCCTAATCATTTTACTTGCTTGTTAGATTGTTCATAAGTTTTGTGAAAATGAATGTGATATTTGAAATGTATGTATGCATGTATGCATGTAAAGGCTTGAGAAAAGAATTTATAGATTATGTTAAGATTAATCATAAGTATGGTTTGTAATGGAAATGTATGTATGTGTGCTAAAATGATGCATATTAAACTTGTACATTATTATGGAATGATCAAGTTATGAGAGGGTAGCAGTTCACCCTAAAGAGTTAGCATAAATTCATATAGCATACCAATTGTAAAGGAAATTCAGCTTGAATTCCTTTATCAAAAGATTTCCTTGTTACTTTGCTAGTTAGATAGTGCTCACACGAGTACATTTCCTATTTTAATTTGGACAATCCCTAGAAAACCTTATTTTGCTAGTATGATCATTCTCACTTAACCAATATATCCTAGCCTTGCATGCTAAATATCATAATTTAAAACATTTGAAATAATGAAGAATGAACTTGAACTATTATATTAATTCTCCAAAACAAAGAAATCATTTGAAAAATATCCAGAACTAGCACAATTTGTTCCATTTAAAACCACAATAAAGTCATGGAGAAAGGCATTTCTTTAGCATTTAGCTAAAGAAATAACAAATATTAGATTTCTCTAAATCTCTAGTGCATAGAGTATGTAAAGTCCCATTCAATTTGGACTTTACCATTCCAATTACAAATATCATGATACAATCACAATAACATATCAAAGTAACAGCCCTCAATTCATTTTCAAAATGTAGGACCCAACTTCATAAAATATATTTCAAACAAGAGGGCTAACAGAAGTGCAAATGCAATTCTATGACTTAATGAAACCCAACATCTTTCCTTTGGAAAAGGACCATACGCTGCAGCTCACACCACCATGCACCGCAGCATGTGGTATAGAACTATGACTCTATTCTTCTCTCTGCCATGTAACGTAGCGTGGCACAAATGCACCGTGACACATATGATAGCAAAATCTGCTATCATATGGCAGTTTAGAAGGTGAACTTTCATTGTGTACTATTTTCATATCCGAAGTCTGATCGAAGTAATTCAAGGGCCGACATGAAACTTACAACATAATCTATCTAATGAGCCTTGGACTCAATCCGATGATCTAATCTAAAATTGGACACCTAAGTAAAGCTACTTTTTTAAAAAAAAAAAACTCACCTTAAATGCTCAATTCTCATTCCTTGTCTTATTTGACCACTTCACCTAGTATTGCATATTCTGAACACGTAATTGATCCTAAATTTTAGATGGTTGTAAGTTGAGATAAGAACATCCTATTGAAGCAAATTAGGATTCCTGAGAAAGATATATTCATGTACTATCTACTATTAAAATTTCAAAGTCATTGTAGTCCATTTATTCTAGAAAAATCATAAAATATCATATCTGATACAACAATTACAGAACTATTTTATGACAGCTTTTCAAACCAAATTCAAAAATTTATAAAATATTATACAGAGATCTAAAAATTTCCATACTTAAGTGCACAAGACTACTACATATCCTATAAGTTCATGCAAAATTTCAGCTCCAAATTCAACCTTTAAGACCTTTTACTAAAGTCATACTCTTTATTGCTAATTTGGTTCTATTTTGAAAAATCAAATGCTTGAACTTGTATTCTTTTGAAATTCTTCATCATGAATATATTTCTAACCATTCATATAACATGTAAATCTAGTTCAATATTTAATATTATCCTTATAAATCAAAATGACCAATTAGACTTGCATTAACAAACATCAAATCATATATATATAAAACAATATTAAACCATATAATTTCTTGTTCCTCTTCAAGCTATAACTCAAGTTTTTCATCACATGGAATTTCAAATCTTATTAATAATCTCATTTTCAAGGAAAAAAAACTATAGTAGAATACTTGAAAAAAAAAAAGTTGCGTGCTCTCCAAAATATATCAATATTTTTCTTCATGATTTTAACATAGAACAACACAAGTTTATGCCAATTTGAAGGTTAATCTTAATAACTTTTCTTTTTACATAAACTAGAACAAACAATACATAAATAGCACAGAAAAATGATCTATAGCAACCACAACAATGTTGCATCAATATGTCTCTTCCTTCATGAATTGGACCACTTCATTTGCTACCAATATTTGTCTAAGCCATGCAAGTCATTCATAGAATCAAAGATCTCTCAAACGTGATATGTTCATGGTCAAATACTATGCAATTTGTTGGAATTCCTATAATGTAGCAAGCATGAGCATTATTTCAACAAAAATACAACTCTTTCAATTCATATAAACAAGAATAAAGTGCATTTCCTTACAAGCATCAATTGCAAGATGATCTACACTATTAACCCTCCTAGGTTATAGTAGGGATGTCAACCACAATCCATACTAAGAGGTCACCTATTAGTAAGCTAGAGCATTCAATCTTATAAGCCTAGATAGGCATCTCAAAAAAATCTTAATTTCCACAATCAAATAATTGCAAGACCAATAAATTATTTCTCTTCAATAGTTTATTTGTATCCCATAGTTAGGCTTCTTTGCACTGAGCTAATTGAGAAAGATTCACTGCCTCTGATGAATAAATGAGGCAGATCACTCTCAAGCATAGAATGACATTTACAACAAACACACTAAATGTAAAGCCTATCTATATAGAAATTAATATATCCTTTAGAGAAAAGAATAAAATGCTAGAAAATCATGGTGTAGTTGCATAAAAATACTGACAGCTTATTCTTTAAACAGATAATGTATCTGCAATCTAGCACCTAGCAAATTATTGAGTATGATAAAGTAAACTTGTTTTATAAGAGCTTATTCATACTAGGAATCTTGACACTAGGTTCAGTACATATTCTCTATCAAAAACCCTCTTGCCACATATCCTTCTACTTTATATTCAGCATCAAGGAGAAATTAATATATCCTTTAGAGAAAAGAATAAAATGCTAGAAAATCATGGTGTAGTTGTAGAAAAATACTAACAGCTTATTCTTTAAACAGATAATGTAGCTAGCAATCTAGCACCTAGCAAATTATTAAGTATGATAAAGTAAACTTGTTTCAAATTCAACCTATAAGAGCTTATTCATACCAAGAATCTTGACACCAGGTTGAGTACATATGCTGTATCAAAAACCGTCTTGCTACATATCCTTCTACTTTATACTCAGGATCAAGGAGACATTTTCACTAAACAAGGAAACATAATACATGTTCAATTTAATAGACAGGACTGGTATGCAATAAACATAATTCATAAGGAGAAGAAAGACATAGCAAAACTCCTAAAAGGCCTTCAATGATGTCTCAATCATGATTATTCTCGAGTTCATAATGACAATTGAGATCTCAATAAAGAATCATTGCTCCATATAGTTATAAGAAACCTAGGCTTTAATACCAATTTGTCATGCTTAAAAAATTAGACATGACTGGCACGTGATATATATACAAACATACATCTCTTAAGCCCTGATCAAGAAAATTTTACCCTAATAGTTTGATTCATTTGAAATAAGATGGAAAGTCATTGTAACATTTTCATATAAACAAAAGATTCCTAAACTTCTTTGTTAAAATTTTAGCAAAACCTCTCCTATAAAGAGGACCTTTTGAAATCTTTTCAGCATTACTATACAGTCTAAATCAGGAATGTAGAGCTCTGCTCCATCACCACAAACAGCCAAATAGATCACAGATCAAGATCTTATCTATAGTTAACATGGAGCACTTAATCATAATTTCAAAATATAACACATAATTAAACATTTACATCAAAAGGAAGGTGTCCTCAAATGATCTTCTAATCAATTTAACAATGAGCGCCTTAGAGGTCAATAGAAGAAATATTGTTAGCTATGTTATTTAAGATCAAAAATATTTTTAGTGAATAACGTTCCAATTTATAGTTGAAAGAAATAATGGAAACTAACATCAATGATTCAATTATAAATTTACTAAAATAATTAATTGTAGTAATATAAACACATACTCATAAATGTCAATACCAACAACTATGTAAATGTGTAAATT